ATGTAGTTTCAAGGTTCTATAAGAGCAGACCAGACACTTTTTCTTTATATCTTTCTTTTTTTTTTTTTTTTTTGGTACTGGGGATTGAACCCAGTACTTTGAGCTTGTTAGGGAAGTGCTCTAATTATAAACTCAAGTTCTATTTGAAATGCAGATACCTGTTGACTCTGATCTCCCACACAGATTCATTAGATTTGGTCTGATGTAGGGCCAGCTTTTTGATTCTGAAAATGTTTAAATCTACTAAAGAGTTGCCAGAATAAAGCAATGATTGTCAAATGCATGTCACAATTACCAATTGTTAAGAGTTTATCACATTTGCTTTCTTTGTTCTAATTATGTTTAAAGTGACACTTCACTCCTAATTCTTCAGCCAGACATCCTTTACATCTTAAAATAAAAGTATTCTCCTTTCATAAAACTATAAAAATACCATTATACCCAAGAAGTTTACTATTGATATAAGAATAAATATATCTAAAATCTGTCTAAATTCAAAATTTCTTAAATGTTCCAATGACATACTATAGTTTCTTATGTTTTCAATCTAGGATCAAATCAAGGATCACACATATTTAATGGTCCTGTCTCTTTAGCCTCTTTTAATCTGGAAGAGTATCTCCTACCTTTTCCCTGTGTTTTATGACTTTGACATTTTTTTTAGATTCCAGGACAATTCATTATTCTTTGTTTTAGAATGTACCACATTTTTAATCTTTCTGATTTCTCCCTCATTATTAGATTACATTTCTACATTTTTTGACAAGTGTGCTATGTATAAGTTGTGAAATGTCCTCAATCCATCCCATCAGGAGGCACAGCACATAATGTTAGATTTCCCAGTACCCCCTTGTGATTTTCATTCAGGTTAATCCACACTTTGAAAAATCCTGCTTTAAACCTTGCAATGTTGTGTTTTGTTTTGAAGTCATCAAACTCTAGTAGAGTTCTGTATTGTCAGCTCTACTCCTTTATTTGAACTGCTAAACCTATCAACAAAAACAACCATTAGTATATGGCACCACGTTGGGTCCTTGCAGGCATCAAGAAAAAGGACAGAA